ATCTATACAATGACAGCTTACTCACGCAACTTCACTTTTCGATCATTCAAAATGATTGTGTGAATGTTTTCTGGTGTTACTGTTTCATTTGGACGTCCACTGCGTTCTGCATCATCGATGCCCCTACGACCTCGTTTGAAATCAGCAAACCAATGTTTAGTTATTTTTTCTGATGAAGCGGAGTTCTTATAACACTTTTCATGCCATTGCTTCACTTAAACGGTATTTTTTCCCATCAAGAAGCAGTGTAAAATTGAAACACGAAATTGTTTTTAATCTATTGTTAGGAAAATAACAAAAGTAGTGTCACTCTCATCACAATAACTTACAAACTAATGAGTAGAATATCATGGAATTTCAACAACTTTCTTTTGAAGATTAGTAGTAACTGAAAAGCAGTGAATGCAATAAGACTAGCGCTATCTATGTGTTAGTCCCGAGACTTTTTAGCACAGGTAGTATTTACACATTTGAAATTGCAATAAGCCAGGAATCGAACTTTCTTAGAGTCGTTTAGAATTCAAATAGGTTTTCCAGGTCGCATCTAAACTCAAAAAGAAATGGGGGTTAATATGAACGAACATGCAGGGCGTTAGACACAGTTAGTTTTTTCTGCACTGGTAGTTTTTGTTGAATCTAGTTGTCGCAGAACAAAAAGTAGGTAGTTGGCCAATGTCACTTCTTCCCGAATTATTATTCAGTCATCCTTGTTCACTATGTTCTAACATGGTTTATTCCACTGAAGTAAGAATAGAAATTATTGAAACCTATTATCGAAAAAATGAATGTGCTGAAGCTGTTGCGAAAATTTATAATACGAATCATCCAGACCACAACGAGATACATCAATACATTAAACAGTTAATGGATAAGTTTCGAACTTTAGGTTCTGTTCACAACAGGAAACAAGACGCATCCCGTCCTGTCAGGAATGACGGAATTGAAACTGCAGTTTTAGGACATGTACAAATGGATAATCGACAATCTATCAGACAAGTAACTAGAGCGTCTGGTTTATCAGTAACTAGTATTTTTCGGATTTTGAAAGCCTACAAATTCCTTCCTTTCAAAATAAGGTTAGTTTAGGAATTATACGAAGACGATCCTGATTGTCGACTTCAGTTTTGTAAGGTGTTCAGCGAGAAATTGAGCAATAACCCAAACCTATTAAACAATACATGTTTTTCAGACGAAAGTTCTTTCATGTTGAATAGTGAAGTGAATAGACATAATTGTCGTTACTGTAGCGATGTGAGTGGTGATGGAAACACATTTACAAACTTCACAAAAATTGAATGTCTTGGCCGGCATTCTTGGTAATCATATTGTTGGACCATTCTTCATTGCAGTTTATGTCAATGGAGCTACATACTTAAATCTATTACAAGACTTTGTAGATCCTATGATTAGACAAATTTCAGAAAATAATGACAATTCAGTAGAAAATGAAATAACATTCCAGCAAGATAGATCACCCCCACATTTTGATGTTCGGGTGAGACAGTTTTTGGATGAACTTTTTGCATTGGATCTGCTGAAAAGGGGTCCAGTGGAGTGGCCAGCTAGATCACCTGATCTCACACAGATTAACTTCTTTCTGCGGGGACACCCGAAGTCGAAAGTGTACTCTACTTAGCCTACAAATCTAGAAGACCTGCGACAGAGAATTGTTCGGGAATGCAGATTGCTGACTCCGGACATCTTGAATAATGTACGGAACGCTTTCGAGAGTAGACTGTATTATTGTATGGAACTAGGTGGAGGTCATTTTGAACAATTTATCCGTTGATTTTGTTTCCACTGATATTATTTGTTGTTGATGAATAAAACGTTCAAGATTTTATTTTTCAATAACGAATGAGCCAATTTGAAAAAAAATCACAGAGTTAATAGAAGAACAAAAGAACTTTCAAATGATGTATCAATCGACCCCCCATATTGTTTAAAAAAAATAGGGGTGGTAGTTGCTGACCGCGAAGGGGGGTTTCGGGTATGATTTTTATATAAGAATAATTTCTCCTAGAAATAAACATCGACTTGTTCTTTGAAATTTTCGATTACATATCCGTTTTTGACTTACAGAGGAGGTCGTTGGAACGCCCTGTATATGATATGCACATGGAATATACGGCAAAGAATTTGAGTACCATTTAAAGTAACAAACGAATTCATTTGTTCTTTCATTAGTAGCTAGTAAACAAAATATCTTTATACAACAAAAACTGATTAACTTTCTACAGAAAACATTCCCACGTTGGGCAAGGAAATGATCATATTAATGACGGTATATGTTATCCTAGCATTTATGAATGGTATCATATAACAATAATAATGATAATGTTAATAATAATGATAATAACGAGAGAGCTCAGACCTGGCATTTTGTATTGTCAATAATGGTGTGAGCTATCAGGAATGTATCTGAAAGATCTGGTATGGTTCCTATAGACGTCAAATTATAGACCTTGGTTACTTCGAATCACTATGATATCCAAGAATGGTAACTTTCTGTTATTTTCAATTTCATTTGTGAACTATTGAATATTTGAGGGAGAATTGTAAATATTGGCCAAGGTCTCATTTCGTTTTTATGAATTTAGTGAGTTGTGTAACTAGCCAACTATATTTAATTGGAAGGTGTAAGTTATGGATCATTTGCCTACTTATCTAAAAAGAAACAGTCACATAATTAACGACTTTTCAAATACTCAGGAAATTCATATGAAATCACTGAAATTACCCTTACTGATATTGAATTACGGAAACATCAATATTTCTTCACCAATTCATGCACCAAATACAAGCAGGAACAGATATTCAATGGAAATGCTGCACTGCAAGGAATGAAATGGTGTTAATATAAAATTCCAATATAAAAATCGCATCTAATCTCAAATTCCATCAGTTTCCTCATAGGTTTTGATATATCTCATACCAAAGAAGTAGTAGAAAGCCAAAAAGGATGTTGGCTAAAGCACATTTCTCATGACTATTAGAAAAAAATTTTTGATTATGGAAAATGATAAGTTGTTTCAAAAGTTTTGTCTGTTTTAATGTCATGTGTTTTTGTAGCTCCATATCTCAATAAATATTGATTATACTGTGTTGTGCTACATACTGATCGATAGAGAATTGTGTACTCTATACACTGATGCTGTTATTTTTTTTTTCAAATTTTAATTTTTTGCCTCTTTTAAGTTCATAACTATATAATGTAGATGAGTGATTTTCAGCCATTTTTTCTCTACGAATTCAAATCGCCAAAGCGCTGCCGAAACAGTCTGAAAAATTAACCAGGTATTTAGCAATGATACTATTGATGAATGCACTGTTTGGCGTTGTTCGTTCAGAAGATTTTAACCTCAAAGATTAGTCCCAAAGTGGTCGACCTACAGTAATCCACGAATATTTGAGGACCCTTTTGAAAACTGACCCATTGTAAAAGGTGCGAGGGTTAACGGAAGTACTGATCGAGTATTGATGGTTTTAAACGTATTGGAAACGTCAAAAATATTAAAAAGTGGTTGCCCTACGTTTTGAACGATCGACAGAAGTTGTCACATTTCGAGGTCTGTTCTGCTTTGCTTTTGCGCAACAAAAATTACCCTCTACGACAACAGGAGAGGTTCAGGACACTGATGAGCCACCCAGGCACTTCTCAAAGATGAAAACCCACCAAGAGAAGAATATGGTTGCTGTATGGTGGTCAGCTGCTGCCTTAATTCACTATAACTTTAAGCAACCGGGCCAAACCATTACAGTAGGGTCCTATTGTGAGGAAATCGACGAAATACACCGAAAATTGCAGCAGCCAGCACTTGTCAACAGCAGAGGTCCGATCCTGCTCCACGACAACGCCCGTCCGCACGTACCAACAAATCTCCGCCCGGAGTTCTGCTTCAACCACAATACTCACCAGACCTCTCGTCAACCGACCATCTTTTCGAGCACTTCGATTACTTTCTCACCGGAAGAATCTTCGACAATCAGTACCAGGCAAAAACGGACTGTATCCCGAGCACCCAATTCTAATGCTGACATTGTTATTTTTAATCGGATAGTTTGATAAGAGAAAATATATCATGATTGACAAATAGAAAAGCATGAGAGATGGTATGGAATGAAACACTTCATTCTGGAGAACTGTTTACAGATCAATAACGACGATGATATACACAAAGTGGTCAAATCTATTCACATAATGTTGCAGTTGTTTCAAACAAGGGGAGGATTGAATTCAGTTGAATTGTTCTTAAATCGACAGTTGGCTTGATATTCCATGAGCTATATGTAAAATGAGACAATGAGTCGTATTATATTCAAAAGCAGACAATTAATACGTTGTAGGACATTCATCGGAGGTGAATATTGAATATTGAATCTTGGGGGCTGAAAAACTAAAAAACCCAATGAAAACCTGTGGAAGATGGACTTTTATAAATTGTGGATTACAATGTTTTACCGAAGAATCAATAACGATTTCATGGAATATTATACTTGTGTACCTATGCTTTCGAAATCAACAATTAAAGTTCACAGACCTCGAAGACTTCTCTAAAAAAGACCTACAAGTTTATGCAGCAGTGTTGAAAATTCTTTTATATGAGACCTATGCTAACCATACATTTTCTAAGTAGATTAATTTGTGAATTCACCACTGGATGCCCATTGACCATAATCAGTTGAAAAGTTCCAAAAATCATTCAGAATATATCAGAAAATTTTTGTATGGTAAGTATATACTCTGAAGCGATTTGTATATAAATATTAGAGGAACATTAGGATCAAGGAAATACATAAACTCACACACGCCAAAGTCAAATAATGAGTAATGAATCACCTGAAAACCAACAAACAGCATAATGCAAAATTAATATATTTGACTATCTTGAGTAGACTCTGCATCACCTGTTGCTATTCCACATTGTAAACCTGTCTCAGAGTTGAATAACTGTTCGCCATACGCCTGCGCATTCACCTGCACCTTGAGACGTTCTACAATTCTACAATCTCCAACAAGTTAGGAGGTAGGTAGTAGGTATACACAAAAGTGAAATCCCTCGGTAACAGCCGGGTCTCTGTTGTTTCTAAGTGCCTTTTAGTCGAAAAATGTGAACAGTGTGTTTTCGGTGATCCGCGAGTGAATTTATCAAGTGTATTTTGGAGTTTTTCAAATCGAAAACCGGTTTGGGTTTCCCTTCTTACTCACCATTGGGATCTCTTATAACGACACAATAATAACAATAATCTCGAGTTTACATCAGTGTATTTCTATCGGTAAGTTTACTATCACTAATTTTCGAGTATGAAAAATATAGAAAGATGTTGAAAGGTCATTGATGTCGTTTCCTGTAATGCAAAAGATAAGTAAAAGTTCAGGCTTTGCGCGAAACAGTTACTTAGTCATATTATAATACAGGAACAATGTGTCACCTGTCTCTACGAACTCTAGGATGACAGATACTGGGGGACAGCGTGTTTTACCGCAAAGGTTGATAACCTTTTTCCATATAAGTGCATGGAAATAATATTTGTTAAGGAAAGACAATAGGTTGATTCACTTGTGAGAAATTAAATTCAAATTATTTTAATGAGCAATTAGTTGGAAGTAAATTACATTTTATTATTTTTTGACTAGTCTCCACGAAATAGGAGTTGCTGCGTAAGTGAATTTAAACATGCATACTTATTACGTCTTCAGTTAGTTTGGTGTTTTCGTGTGGAACACATGCTTTTTTTACTGAGAAAATAAAAGTTTCGAGAAAAACTAATGTGAACCTCATTCTCTTCGATTACTATTTAAACTCAGTATAAGAAAGATATGCTCGTTAATTTACTGTAGCTTCTGATAGTGTGAAATAGTCCAATTCAATCATAGTTGGTGAAAAGGCAAACTTCTTGTTTACCAGATCAGTTATAAATTATTTGAGCTGACATGAAATTTTCTTTGACGTTAGTCGAAAATGTATGTTTCAGAATGTGAAGACAAATTTTAGAAAGGAGGTGGTTTTTTGCTTCTTTTTAACATTTAAAGTTAAGTACTAGTATTGTACTCAGTACTATTGTATTAAGTACTGTTCAGAATGGAAATATTCTGTATGATATAACATAAAGGGCTCAAAAAAACTTTCAATTTTTCTATGCCGAAATTAATATTCACCTTTTAATAACTTTCTCATATTATTTGAGTAAAACATTTTCCACCTTTTTCAGGAGGGTTTAAAGTACCTACTCATGTAGTTGACACTATCTCAAACATAATGGAGGAACAAGCGAATTCAAAATTTTTACTGATCGCCTTCGAAATAAAAATGTTTCAACTTGCCTAGTGTTTCAAAAACATGTCTAATTTCACTAATTTGGTTTTCTTCATTTTATTTTATACATTTTCATAAGTCTTTTTCTCATTCAGATTCTGAATTCTTTTATGATGAAAATTGTGAATATTGATCCAAATTTTTTGATTACAGGTTGTCCCATATTTTGTAGTTCATAAATTATTCGATTTGATTTAAAACTGATTTGGGATGTGGGTTGGTGGAAGGGTAGTTACTGTAATTAATTTATTAAAGATTCACTACACGTGTTTCAATTACCAAGTGATCATCTTCAAGAGGAAGAGTTTAATATTTCTCTTGAGGTGATCAGAGGAAGAGTTTAATCTTTCTCTTGAAGATGATCACTTGGTGATCACGTGACCACGTGATTCGTGACCACACGAAACACGTGTGGAGGTGTCAAAATAACGGTTTGGTATTGGGAAAATACTCCAGTAATATTCATTACCACACCAAAGGTTTCACAAGTCTAGAGAATATACCATCCAGTCTCTTTTTTGCATTTTCATTGAAACGTGTGTTCCGTCTATTTGAACTAACAAAACTCTACCTGTGGTCTTGCAGACTATATGAAATGTTCCAATTTTTTTTCTTTCGTTAAAAACATATAATAAAATGAGAATACGATATTATTTTACTGAAACAAGTTATTCTTTTATTAGAGTAATTACCCCTTTTTCCTACCAACTCCCTCCTGGGGCCTCAGAAACTATAGAAAATGTATCATCGGGGTTCTTTTCCACTACTATAATATAGTTAGAAACGTTTTTTGGAAGCAGACTGCGGTACTATTCCATATGTAGAGTTAACCTCCAATTCTTTTCTAAAACGGTTCAGTTTTTCTCAACCCCTTGATATCAGGTTCCTTGATATTTCCAAAAAAATATGAAAATGCAAAAATTAGAGTGACATAATTTTTTTCGTCGTGTATAAATGTGTATGTGAATAACTTCACTTCGGTCAGCAGCAACAGGGTTGGAGATCGTACGACACAGCGAAAAGGTATATTGGCAACTCTATGAAGCAAAAAAAAAACAATATCACTAGTAAAATTTTAAAAATAGACATCACTATTGAGTCTACATCTAATATCACATTTCAAATTGAAAGTGAATAATCAGGTATAAGATTCGAAAACTTGTGTTTTTGAACAATTTCAATTCATGCAATTAAAAATTTCGAACTATCATATTTGACATATTTAATTGTAAGTTATACTATAAGTTATAATGAAAGTATCCATTTGTCCAAAATAAACAATTTCAACTTGAAATCATAGAAAAAGTATACTGTGCAATCTGTGAAACGATTTGTATATTTCTCACTCGTATATAAAGTTGAACTTCACGACTTGTTGAACAATATAATTTCGTCACATACCAATGCTATGTATCTAAAACAAAAACTAAATATTTCTCCGAAACTAATTAGCAAATAATTAGATTAAAATTATGTTGTAGATAAAATTCTGGAAAACTCAATAATGAGAAAGGTGTGTCGCTAAAGACGAAAAATTTCTATCCGTTCTGTTTCCCTGTGTATAGTGGAACGATTAGGTTTGTTTTGGTTCTCATTTCGTTACAGTTTGATCATGTGTAGTTATTGAAATGTGTTTTTGTCCATTTAAAACAGTTCTGGAATCGTCCCCAAAGTGGTTTGGTTTTTACAGAAATGATTCGGAACAGTTCTAGAACGGTAATCGGTATTTCGAACTCTGGATGGGTGTTTCAAAATCTTTTTGAAATTTCTCGAATAGTTTTGATCAATCAATCAAAAGAATTTCAGCGAAGTGAGCCAAGATAGGTTGTACAGCGGATAGTTACATACGTACTAAAAAATAAAACTACCTAAATACACCGTAGGTAGTATAACTCAATATTCAGCTTGGTTTTAGCCGGGGAAGTAGTGGTTTTCCGGCAGGCATTTACTAGAACCTACGGTGTAGTTATTGGGAGAGATGCATATTTCGAAATTTGATTTCCAAATATTCATTTTCTAGTACGGCAGATAACTTCAACATTTTTATAGTACTTTACATTTCATAATTAAAAATGTACCTTCATTAGTAAACAATCCAGAGGAGTGGTTACATGGCAGAGAAGCAGAAAGAGAAAATATTCTAAGATTTTTATGACTTGGGATTCCAGATGTATCAGGGTGTGTGGATGAGCCCCATGTAAGGATACAAAATCCAAAATGACCACGAGTTTTATCACAACTGGAAAATTTGTTCCATCCAGATATATATACTCAAAGTGACCAGACGTCCCGTTATGAACGGGACTGTCTCTTTATTCGACCATATGTCCCGTTGTCCCCAAATTATCATCTGGGACGTAAAATAGTCCCGTTTTCTGAAATCATCTCTAAAGAAACTGTTGATAGGTATCGGATGTGGAGCCCATATAATTCACAATGCTATAAAATCTGCTGCAGACTGCCTACCTTCAGATTACGAAAGAATTATTGTGTAAATATATTCATTTTTTTAGAGTTAAAGCTCTATAGGAATTTTGCGCTGAAGCTGAAATAGAACATCACCAAATGCTCGGCTACAGCAAATCTCGCTAGCTTGCGCTAATGCCTGCTTTGGAGAGAGTTTTGAAAATGAACCAGCCATTAAAGAATTATTTTTTGAGCATTGAAAAATGTCCCAAATCAATAAAAGACTTTTTTGAAGATCCTACAACTGAATTATGGCTTTGTTTTTTATACGCTCAGTCAGCAAGTTTTCGCCAAGCTGATTTGAAGGTTGAAGGTCAAACTGTATCGGCAATTGACGCTGCAAAAGAAATCAATCAACTCATTCACACTTTGATTCAGAAAGAAACCAATCAGTTTCTTCCATTTACTGTTGGTGATTTAATCATAAAACTTGTAGGTTTCAGTTCTGAAGGTGATGTTGATAACGAAGATCAATATTAACAAAACGTGCCAAGAATTTCAATCTTAGTTTGAATCATCAATATCTTCATTGAGGCAAATTTGTTCCTCCGAAAAATATAAATACGACTAAAAATATGATATGTTGCATATAATTTAATAATTAATGTTACATTCATCACTGTCGAGGTTAAGTGGAAGAACAGGGTATTTTCTTCGCCCTCAGATGAAAATAAACTGAACTTCGCCTTTTAATTTCCTGTATTAATTTTTTTTATAAAAAGGTGCTTTAATGAGTCCATACAGTATGTAGTATGGTCCATACTGAATGGACCATACATACATACATAGGTATGTTATATATGGACGTTCCGTTTTGAGTTGAAAAAAAATGGTCAGTTTATGTATACTAAATGTTAACTGAATGTGTATTTACAGTTACCAAACTTTTCAAATGCAGGTAGTATGTGATTCTAAACGAAGAATTTGTGGTGTTTTATTGGATTTTCGGGCTCCGATCATGATGCTAAAGTATTTTGTAATCATCCTTCATTCCATACGTTGCAAGAATAACGTGGAGTATATGTATATGTATGTATATGTATATCCTTGCTTGAGAAATTTTCTTCCACCCTACAAAAATAATGGTCACCTTTACAACAAACCGTTGAGCAAGGGTCGTGTAGCTAATGAGCAAACCTTTGGTATTTCAAAATACAAACTCTGACAGTTAGTTGTACCTGAAACTCAGAAATACCTTCGTTCGAACAAAGCAATGAGACTCCTGTCGAATTTGATGATCAAGTGAATGAAACCAATGAGAAAAATGTTGTTGGTTTGAACTTCTGAAATTATATAGCTAGTGGTACATCTAATAATACATTGATACTGCTCAGAGTATGTATTTGTAAGACAATTATGTTCATAAAAGTGGCTTGTCTTTCTGTTTTGGTTTTCTACTTGAATTGTAAACTTTCTTTCCATACATGGAATTGACACAAACGAAATAATTTTCCTGAGCAAAAATTTTTCTGAAATGGAATAATATATTTATTC